TACTTAATAAGCAAAGCTTTTATTTGGATGATGAGGTGATCGGGCTGTAAAATCCACCACATCCCTGGAAACCAGGTCAGTCCGCTCTTACAGGTTAAGGAATTGAGGCAGAAGTGCACGTGACTGGCTTGCTGACAAGCTAGCGGCAGGAGAAGATTCTGTGGCTAAAGGGGCGAGCTAGAAGGTCCCCCGGGTCTCATCGGGTCCCACTGCTGCTAGCTACGCAGCCATCCCGTAGCCTTCTGCTTCCAGGTCCTTTACGGCGTCAGCGACTGTGGGTCCAAATGACAGGTTGGTGGTTGGGAATTTCACTCTTTGGATTAGACAAAGCTGTATAAGCACTGGGGTTGCTTTGAAAAGCAAGCGAGCTTAGAGAGGCCAGGCCCACCCGGCGCTCAGGCTTCCTTGCCAGCTGCAAGCAGCAAGGCCATCCAAGATCAGTGGCTTTTCTGAAGTCTGGGAGAGCAATGTGAGCCGTTAACTTCTGTCACTAATGTCAGCTGAGAAGTGGGGTGTGTGGTCATCAAGTTAAGGTCTGCTGGGCCCTTGGGGCCCTCCTGGCCACGTGACCTGGGAGATGGGTTAGACGAAAGCATTTCCTAGGAGAATTCTCCAGGAAGGATTTGGCCAATGGAAGGGACCCTTTGGGGGAGGCTGATCTCATTGGAGACAGGGAACCTGCGTGCGTACGTGCGTATGTGAAGGGATCCTGCCAAAGATGCTGCGGTTCCCTAGAAACAGAGGGTGGGGGAGCACAGAGCTGCACAGACACCCGGTTAGGATCTCTCATCTATTTCCGGGCTTCTCTCAGCACCGTGCTGGGAGGGAAGCCCGGGAGAGACTCGCCCACACAACTAGGCTTGTCAGTGAGGACTCAGTCTGGTCTGCAGAACTCCACAGCGCTCACAGCCCTAAAATAACTGATCTTTCTGTGTGCAGTAACAGAAGGGAAGTCTCAACCATTCCATGAATGTCCGCAGAGCCACCCGGAAGCCACTTCTATTCCCCAACATGTGCCCTCTTTGTCTAACACGTGGATGCTAAGCCAGCTCATGACCCCCTCTGGCTTCCAGTGATTGAGAAGGAAGTTCCCGGATAGAAGCTGGGAGAGCAGTTAGGAGGCTGTTGCAAGGAAGACTTTGATCAGTTGGTGGCAGTAGAGGTAGTGAGAAGTAGCTGGGTTCTGCTTGTATTTCCAGAATTGAACCAATGAGACTTCAAGACAGATTGGATGTGGGAGGTAAGCAAGAGTCAGCAATGACTTCAAGGTTTTTGATCCAAGCAAACAGAAAGATGGAGTTCGTGTGCTGAGCTGGAGAAGGATGGCAGATAACAACATATGGAAGGAGACAAAGAGTTAAATTCTGAATGGACTGTGGTTTAGAGAGAGAGGGAGGGAGAGAGAGAGAGCTCCAGATGCGGTGGTACACACCTTTGATCCCAGGCAAAGGCAGAGGCAGGTGGGTCTTTGTGAGTTCAATGTCAGCCTGGAACACACAGCAAGTTCCAGAGCAGTCAGGGACACACAGTGAGACCCTATCTTAATGAGGGTGGGGTGGGGTGGGGGAGTATATTTATGTTTCAAAATCCTGAAAGCAGGACTCTTTCAAATGATGAGACAAAGGATCCAGAGACCCTGAAGCAAAATAAAATGAAATTGTTCTGATGAGCGGATGTAGAGCCAAGGGAGCTGAAAGGTTACACTGACCTCTCTGGATGGTCCTCTAAGGAGGCCCAGGTGGGGTGAAGCCGCAGGGCAGCACAGGCGTGAAGCCCAATGGTTAGAGGTCACGCTATGGTGTTAGCGTGAGGTGTGCAGGATTTGGATTGATGAACTCAAACCAAACCGACAAAACGACAGCAGATCAGATCTGTGGCATGACAGCAGATCACATAATAAAGCTGGAGTTGTGTATAGCATACATTTATAATCTTATTGTAACATAATATGATCAAATTAGCATACTGAATGAAAAACTCAACAGATTCTCAGAAATGAAATTTTTTTCCACTGCTGAGCTGTGAATGACTCCTATATTTGTTTTAGCTGTGACGGAGCTCGGTGATAGGGGCTGACTCAGTGGTTAAGAGCATATACTGCTCACTGCAGTCCAGAGGCCCCAGGTTCAACTCCTCCCAGCACCCACACGGTTCACCAATGTCAGTAACTCCAGTTCCAGGAAATTAGATGCCTGTTCCTGTCCAGACATACAACTGGTGCACAGACATCCATACACATACAGGCAAAACATCCATACCCATAAATTTAAACAGAACCAAGCTACTCAGCGTTAGCCTTTACATCAACTCATGACGCGTCATATAAAGTGTGCCCTGTGATGTTTTAAGGGAAGTTTCCTTCTAGACTAGCCATAACTTGCCCAGATACATCCAAGATACAACCTTGAACTGTGTTTCCAAATTCAGTAACTCTCAAAGTCCCCTAGCTCAGAGGCCAATGTTTGAGCTGGTGAATGCTACAGCTCCTGGGTCTACTAGACCACAAGAGTGACAATACAGGGTTAAACAAGACCTACAGGTGTTTGTTTGCATGTCCTGAGTCTACTGGAGAACAGAAAAATTGAGAAAGCCCTTGTCTCACGTTTCTAGTCGATAAATGAATATGAAAAGAAAAGAGATTGTTATATAATTCCCAACACCTTGTCTTCTGACTGCTAGTCACCTAGTCTAGACTTTCTACTTTTCGTACATGCAACACAAGTCATGTCATTGTAATTAAGTGTGTAATATTTAAATCTCCTGTGCTGGGTTCTCCAGCAGATAGGGCTGAGACAGAGCGGCTCCAGCCGATCACTCCGGAGGGGCTGAGCTGGATGGTGAGTGTTGACAATCCAGACCTCCCCCCTGGCCACCGAGGAGAAACACACATTGAGGTGGGAGTCTGTTAAAGCAGGAGCTCACTTGATTGCCTCAGGCCAGGAACTTATATAGGGCTGAGATAGTGGAGTGAGGAATAAGGGCCAATAATATCCTGCCACGTCAGTGGTGACTAGACAGAGGCGGGTCTAGGTCAGGCTGTGCTCAGTCACTCCTCTCTCCTCAAACTCAAGTTAAGCTCAGGAAGTTACTCGGGGCTTCATAAAGCCCAACTCTCCTGACATTATGAAATCTTCTGCATGCTGGTAGATGAGGGAAGACATTCAGCTTTGCAGACTCCATCATTTAGTTCAATAGAAAAATAAAATGACACGGTAGCTGAATACCTCCCCACACAGCAAAGACGGTCCCCAGACAAGTCATTACCTACTGAATTGGAGCTGATTGACACTTACATGGCTTCACAGGTGTTCGCTCACTCAGCCAAACTAAACAGGTTAATCATCTCCTATTCATGTTTTCTTTTATGAGATACCCTCAGTAAAACCTCTCAAGAAAAAAATACCAAAAAAAAAAAAATTCACGTCTGGGTCCAAGGCATGTTTACCTGGACAAGGGGTTTACACCAGGGCTTGAGACGTGAACGCTAGAGAATGCCTATTTCCTCAGAAATAACTAGACAGGGCTCCTCTTCACTAAGTCAGAAAGGGGGTGAATTCCAAATTAGGATCTGTGATATACTGGATTGTGCAAATGAGACCAAAGTAGGGCGTTCGAACAAGGTAGGTGCCGAGCTGAGCTGGGCTGCGAAGCTGTTCGTCAGTGATGTAGACAAGCAGATGTTTAGCTACGAGGTCCTGGCAGGAAGCCATGAGAGGGCCGCCATCGTGGTCATGGCTTATGTGTAGGAGCTTGTGGGAGGCTAATGGAAAAGGGTCTCAAGCCCTGGTCTTACAGAAGCTCAGACATCAGTGATCCACAAAATCAGCCTGATTTCTGCCTTAGATTAACATCACACCCGGAGCCAACTTTGTCTAAGACCCTGGTTATCTGCATTCTCCATCCACCACTGACTTCGTTTTGCCTCCTCCTAAAAACGACCCTAACTTAATCCCCTATTTTAATCTCTGCTGCCTCTTGTTTCAGGCAAGTAAAGAAAGAAAAGCAATGTGTGCGTGTAACAATGAGTGTATGTAAAGAAACCCAGACCCCCCTGCAAACAGTAGTCTCCCTTACAGCTCAGTTCTGCAAGTCCCTCACTGTCCCCCTGTGCACCGGCTGCAGCTTACATACGTTGGCCTGTCCCTTAACAGCCTCAACTTCACCGACCAAGCCCTCGTCCTTCTCAGGCGTCATCTGTGTGCCGATGGTCAGCCTTCCTTTCAAAGTCTCTGTTATAAAAGCCAGAGATGCAAGAATTTGGGTTCAAGAAATTAAAGGCCAGGAGGGCCGGGGAGACGGCTCAACAGTTCCGAGCACTTGTTGGGTTCAGTTTCCAGCACTTAGATGGTCGGTTCACAGCTCTCCATAGCACCAGCTCTGAGGAATCAGATGCCTTTCTTTGTTCTCCATGGGCATGATACACACACATACATACATGTAGACAAAGCATTCATATTTATAAAATAAAGCTTCTGAGACATCTTTTGGTATTTCATTTGTTTGTTTTGAGACAGGATTTCTCTGTGTAACAGCCCTAGCTGTCCTGAAACTTGCTTTGCAGACCAGGCTGGTCTTGAAATCACAGAGATCTGCCTGCTTCTGCTTCCCAAGTCCTGGGATTAAAGGCATGTGCACCATGACGTCCGGCGTATACGTTTTTTTTTTTCTCTTTTTTAAATTAGACATATTGGCACGTGCGTGCAATACCAGCACAGGATAGAGGCAAGAGAGACAGGAGTTTAAGGGCATCATAGTAAGTTCAAGGCCAGCCTGGGCTACAATAGGTCCTATCTCAAAACATAAAAAAAAATAAAGCAAACCAGGGTTTGGTTATTTTTAAGTGCATGTAAATAAACCGTAAGTTTTCTGGAGGGTGCACAGTGGCTTCTCCCCAGTGACAGGGCTGCGGTGGGGAATGCCCTTAGAAGGACATTGCTCTGGCGTGCCTTCGACACTGCTGCCACGGGTCACAGCTCTGCCACTCTTCCTCTTCCCACTAGGATTGTGAAGATGTCCAGCCCCAATCTGAACATTGTGATCTTACTGGGCAGCTGTCTGACTTACAGTAGCGCTTACCTTTTTGGGATTCAAGATGCTTCAGTGGGGAATTCAATGGAAGCGCTCGTTCAGGTAGGTGGCACTTTGAAATTTTGTTTCGGACACCATGTTAGATTTTGATGATATCCCATGATCATGGCTCTTTCTGTGAGTGGTAGATATGTATCCACGTTGTAGTTTGTATCCATGCTACAGTTCTGTATCTGCGTTACAGTTATGTATCCATGTAATAGTTGTGTGTCTGTGTTATAGCTATGTGTCCGTGTTATGGGCACATTCAGTGAGGCCCACTTTCTACCCCCCCTCCCCCATCCTCTGTGGACCTGAGATGTTGAAGATGGAGGAAGGTCCCACTGTGACTCTTGCTTCTGTCCTCGTTTGTCCTCAGATGAGACTGTCCATGCTGTGCATTGGGACATCCCTTGTGTTCGGCCCTATTCTGGGGAAGAGCTGGCGACTCTACAAGGTGTTCACCCAGAGGGTCCCCGACAAGAGAGTGGTGAGTTGGACAGCCGGTACACAATGCTGGGTGGCAACAGGAGCTCCACCGAGGCTCAGAGATGGGGAAGTTAGTGCAGATCTCTAGGATAACTATGGGATGGCTGAAATTCTTGCTCCTCACTTCAATCCTTAGAGTGATGTGGCTCCGTAAAACCCCAGACTTCTAGGTTTGAGAGTGAGCGCAGCCGGGAACTGGATCTGGGAACATGGGCTGCTTTAAGTACACCAGGCTCCACGGGAACCTGTGAGCTGGCCAGTACCTGGCAGAGTGGGAGTGCAAACAAGATGCCCAGAGACTGGCTCTTGGCACAGATAGGGGCTGTAAGAGAACGAGGGAGTGTAGAGAAGCTATAGCAAGAAGCAAAATGATTCCTCTCCCTAGGTTGCAGGTCTTTCCCATACAGGCAATTTTCTGCCCTGAGAAGGGTATAGCTAAAGCAATGAGCAAGAAAAGGGACTCAGCAGGAAAAATAGACTGAGCAAGCCCTGCAGCAGCTAGGTCACCTGCATGGCCCTGACATCCAGCATTTATTATAACCATACTCTTCCATTTTATCAAATTCCCTGATATGACTGCCCAGACCATGAGTCTCTTTGGCTAGAGACTCCCCAGACTTTTATATTTAATTCTGTCAGACTGCTTCTCTGTAATTATGGGATGTTAAAAACCAAACATTATTGAATCACAGTGGCTACTTAGCAAAGTTTTGCTGTAAGCACACAGATGCAGAAAGTTGACTAAAAGGATGGAGTTCATCCCTCTTGATAACGGTTTTTCAAAACTATGGGGTTTTTGTTGTTGTTGTTTTTCTTTCTTTCTTTTTTTTTTTTTAGGCAGAATTGACACACAAGAAACACAATATTAAAAGTGTGACAAAATACTTACCTGGCAGGGGAACACCATGATCAGGAGGTTTTTCCACAGAGAGGCTCACACACTTAGGGTGAGCTGACGCCTGAGATTTCCACACACACAGGAAACTCGGCTGCATAATTTGTGGAAGTGAGGGACTGTATTAGCTCTCTCCCCTGAATAAAAAGTGTGGTATTATGTCAACCCATGAAACATGTGATCCTGCAAACTCTACCATCCCCAGATGCTCAACATCCTGGGCCCTTTGTTACATTGTAACATTGTTACATTTGTCACATTGTTCCATTGTCACACTGTCACACTGTTACACTGTTACATTGTTACATTGTCCCTCCTTATTCCGAGGACACCACTGTTTTGGTTTCGAGCATTAAAGATTTAGTTTTTCTTTTCCAGGGTTTTACATCAGTGGAATCATGGGCTGGAGAGATAGCTGAGTCGTTAACACAGTTGGGTTCTCAGCACCCATGTTGGGCATGAGTACATACCTACATAAAAGTGCACACATGTGTTTAATTTAAAACTAAAAGTAAATCTTTTTATAAAAAACCAAACTATTTATTTTATGTGTGTGAGTGCTTTGCCTACATGTATGTATGTGCACCGTGTGTGTGCCTGTGACCAAGGAGGTAAGAATCAGGCATCAGATCCTACAGAACCAGAGTTACAGATGGCTGTGAGCCACCACATGTGTGCTGGGAACCAAATGTAGATCCTCTGCAAGTACTCTTAACCACTGAGCCATCTCTCTGCACCTAAAAACAAATCATTGAAGAGAAACAAAAGTTCAAAGTCATCCTTAGCCACATAGTAAGGACACATGAGACCCTATCTCAAAAATAAATAAATAAATGAAAATACAATTTTGCTGCTGGTGACATATTTCAGTGGGAAGAGTGCCTGCTGTGAACCATGCAGTGGGTACTCTCATTTAATCTGGTTTATTTTATTCATGTAATTATTTTGAATATAATTACTCATCCGCATTGCTGTGTACAGCAGTAGTTTATCCGTTTGCCCATTGATGGAGTTGGAGTTGTTTCCAGTTTGGGACTAATACAGATAAAGATGGTGTGAACATTCATGTCCTCATATTTGCATAGATACATGCTTCCATTTTCTTTGCTCAAAACCTGAGAGGAGAATGGTTGGTGCACATAGCCAGTGTGTATTTAATTTTGCTCTGCACATTTTTCTTTTGTTTTTGTTTTTGGGGTGAGGTCTCACTGGGTAGCCCTAGCTTGTGTGTAACTCACTATGAATTCCAGGTTGGCCTTGAATTCACAGAGATCTGCCTGCCTCTGCTTTCTGAGTACTGGAATTAGAGATGTGTGCCCCACTCCAGCGCTAACTTATTCTTCATAGCTTTGGTTATTAAATATAAGAAATATTTGCCTAATCGGTGTCATCAAAATTTTTATTTTTTTCTCCTGAGTTTACTTCTAGAAATTTTAGAGGTTTTTTTTCATGTGTGTGTGTGTGCGCGCATGTGCGTGTCTGTGTGTGACAGAATGGGCACTCTGGCCACAGCGTATGTATGGCTCTCTCCTTTCACCATGTGGGACCGGGGAACCAGCTCAGGTCATCAGGCTTGCTGACAAGCAGTTTTACCTGTGAGCCATTTCACCAGCTCGCAAACAAGGCTTTAAAGTGGTTTGCCAATCTGCATAAAAATCACATTAGGATTATGATGGGAAACGCTTTGAATCTAAGATTAAACTACTGAGAACTGATTTCTTAACAATGATGGTTTTTCATCTATCAATACTGTACATGTTTCCACCTATTTAGGTTTTTATTAATCTATCTCAGCAATATTGTGTATATCTCAGTATAGAGCTTTCACGTATTTCCAGATTTATTACTCGTTAAGTTGTTATATGTTGCATGTTTTATTGTTTTGTAAATTATACTTTTATATTGATTTTTGCTCAGACGCAGACAGACAGATGGGTTTTGGTGCTGACCGTGTATGTCTCAACCTTGCTAAATTCCATAAGAGTTCTAGCAGTGTCGTTTTTTTAAGACGGTCTCATAATATAGTCCAAGTTGACCTCTATCGTCTAGGCTGGCCTTGGGTTCCTTGGGTTCATGGTGGTCTTCCTGTCTCAGCTTCCAAAATGCCAGACTACTACAGTCATTCTAGCATTGTAGCAACTTCTTTATTATTATTATTATTATTATTATTATTATTATTATTATTATTATTATTATTTTGAGACAGGGTTTCTCTGTAGCTTTTGGAGCCTGTTTTGGAACTCGCTCTGTAGACCAGGCTGGCCTTTAACTCACAGAGATCCGCCTGCCTCTGCTTCCTGAGTGCTGGGATTAAAGGTGTGCGCCACCACCGCCCAGCTCTTCCAGCAACTCTTTTTTTTTTATTTTTTTTCCAGCAACTCTTTAATAGACTCCATTAAATTCTCTGCATTGTTGTCACATCACCTGTGAGTAAAGAGCTCTTTTCTGAGAGAACTGGAAAAAGCAATAGTACAACTTCAAACTGAGGTGACGAGTAAAAGATCCTTCAATGGTTGTTATTTTATATAAAAATGTGTGTCTTGACCACTTGTATATCTGTGCACCATGTGCATGCAGTGCCCAAGGGGGCCAGAAGAGGGCATCAGATCCCTTGGAACTGGCATTGCAGATATTTGTGAGGCTCCAAATGGATGCTGGAAACTGAGCCTCTGCTGGTGCTCTTAAAGGATGAGCCCTCTTTCCAGCTCCCTTCAATTATTCTTGGCTGATGGGGAAGCCCTTCCATACTAAGCATGGATTGGGTGTGTGGCTTATCCCAGTAGTCCTAGCCCTTGGGAAGCAGAGGCAGGAATTTGGTGAGTCTGAGGCCAGCCAAAGCAAGACCCTGTCTTAAAAACAAAACAAAACAAACAACAAAAAGAATCATCATGTGCATGCATGAAGATGTCATAATGAGTTGCATTATCATGCATAATAAATGTATACTAATAAAAACATTGTAAAGAACAAACAAAGCATGGAAGTTGGCTGCAGTTTCATAGACTTTGTTTTTCCACTTGTGGAAGGCTTTTGTGTCCCCCCCCCTTAGGTTCCTGATAATTTTTATCAATATTTGGGTTTTGTCTAACAAATTTCCTTGTCTATTGAAGTTGTCATATTATTTTCTTGTCTGATCTGCTCATATGATGGATTGTGTTAAAATGATGGTAGGATGCCCAAACAGACTTGTATTCCTGGATAAACTTAAGTTGGTCATGTGCTGTTACATGCTTTGTGTTTGGTAGGACTCCTCTTTATGAAAATTGTGTTTGGATTTGCACACTTCAGCTTTTAGCGGCTATTGATTTGCAGTTTTCTTTTCTTACAGTGCATTCATTTACCTTGTTTGGGTATCAGGGTAATCGTGATGTTGTAGAATGAGCTGGATAGGCTTCTTTTCTCTTCGGTTTCTAGAGAGCTTTGTAGGCAATGGTAAAATTGCTGTGCACCTCTCACCATGCATGCTTCTTCTCATCCTATTCTGCGTGCTATTGCTTTCATTTTTACATGTACTATAAGCCCCACTCAGTTGTTGTAATTTTTATTAGACAATTATCTTGTAAAGTTATTTAGGAAAAATAAATTACACATTTTCCTAAATAGTTGACGTTTCCAGTGCTCTTAATTGCCTGTACACATTTTGTTTTCTGTTTTTTTTTTTTGTTTTGTTTTTTTGAGATGAGGTCTCACTATGTAGCCCTGATTGGCCTGCCACTCCCAGAGATCCACCTGCCTCTGCCTCCTAAGTGCTGGAATTAAAGAAGTATAAAACCACCCTCAGTCTTATATCCTCATTTTCATTTGGTATCATTCCCTTTTGATTTGAAGGATTAAAAATGTTCTAGTGTGAGTATAGAAGTGCTGAACCCTTTCAGCTTCATAGGACTGAAGATGTCTTTATTTTGGCTGTATTTCCAAAAGAAACATTGCCACTTGCTTGTTGTGTAGTGTTGGAGGTAGAGCACAGAGTCACTCACACTAGACACTGGATCTACCGCTAGCTGCATCCCAACCTTCGGATGTTCCCTTTTGTTTCCGTACTTGGATGAAGATGCTCTCTCCCACTGTCTTCTCACTTGACCTTATATGGTGAGGTCTGACTCCTGATCTTTGCTCCTCCGTACAGAGTGTGTCTTTTTCCCTAATTGCTAGCAGCAGTTTCTCTTGTGAGCAACTTGATTAAGCAAAGTTTATCTTGCTCTTGCGAACTTTATAACTAGCTTGCTTATTTCCTTTGGTGGTTGTCAAGAACGTGAATCTACCACATCCATCACCCTGTAGAAAACTGAGCTCCAAATAGATCAAGAACCTCAACATTAGACCAAATCCCTGAACGTGGTAGAAAAGAAAGTAGGAATAGGTTTGGACTCACTGACACAGGTAGAGGCTTTCTGAATGAACACCATAGGCATTAAGACCAACAATTAATAAATGGGACTTTGTGAAACTAAAAACTCTGTACAGAAAGGACACCATCATTTGGACAAAGCAGAAGCCTACAGAATGGGAAACACTTTGCCAATTAGATAGTTAGCTAGAACATATAAAGAACTAAACATAAAATATCAACAGTGTTATACATATTTTTATTAAATTTTCATAAACAGTTTAAGAATTATTGTCATAAAAAACATTCTCACTTCATAAAAGAAAAGAGTCCAAGATGAGCACCTGTCTCTGCCGCTCATGCTGAGCCTTAGTGCAGTGCGAAAGGGAAATGGACTTGTCAGGAACCTGCTATAGGACGCATGCAGAGAGGAGAGATGTGAGCAGCCTAGAAGTAGCGGTGACCGCAACTACTTAATATGGAAAAGGGATCCCGGTGACTGCTTGGACAGATGATAGGGGGATTTTGACTCTACAGAAATGAAGAGCCCAGGTATTGAGAAGGCTTAGTGAGTAAAGGTGCTTGCTGCCAAGTTTGATGGTCTGAATTTGATCTCTAAAACCCATGTTATGGAAGAAGAGAACCAACTTCCACAAGCTGGCCTTCCTCTGAGAGTATGAACACGCACATATAACACAATACATGAATACATTTTTATAAAAGAGCTCCTGGGGCCAGCGACCTAGGCTGGAACAGGCCTGAGGCAGCGAGCTGCATGGGAGGGAACTGAGCCAGCAACATAGGCCTGAGCAGGCCTGAGATGGCAAGCTCCATGGGAGCAGGAGCAGAACCAGACCAGGGGCATTTGCAAGGCAGGACTGAGCCAGCGACCTGGGCCAGAGCAGACCTTAGACAGCGACCTCCACAGGAGCAGTTACAGGAGAGCAACTGCTGAACAAGTGGGCCAGAGCCAGAGACCATTGTGGGGGTCCAGGCGTGAATCTGGGACCTTCGAGGGAGTAGACCTGAGCCAGGACCTCTGTGGGTCTGGCCATCAGTCTGGGACCTCTGAGAGAGTAGGCAGGAACCAGAAACCTCTGCAGGTCCAGGCATGAGTCTGGGACCTCCAAGGGAATAGATCAGAGCCAGAGACCTTTGCAGGATCAACCCCAAGCCAGGGACCTCTGCAGGAGCAGATCCAGACCAGGGACATTTAGAGAAACAGGTCTGAGCTGGCAACCTAGACCAGAGCAGGCCTGAGACAGCAAACTCCATGGAGAAGAGCAAACCCTGGGAGTACTGAGTGAGCTCCAGGAACATGGTGTGACCAACAGGGTAACTAGAACAGTGGCACTGACTGTACCATGAGGAACAACCATCTGAGCCTTGGATCCACCTAGATTAATCACCAGAGTCCCAGACAGCCCCAACCATACCAATTAGAAGAAAAGATGAGTAGATAAGGTAAGAACACACACAACACCACAAAGAGCAAAATGACACCAGTAAAATCTAGAGACCCTACAACAGCAAGACTCGAACAACCAAATATAGATGGAAAGAGAAGAAAATAACATAAAAAATGACTTCAGGAAAATGTTTGAGACTCTTAAAGAAGAAATGAGAAATTCCCTCAAAGAAATGGAGGAAAAGACAAACAAGAAATTGCAAGACATCAGCAAATCCCTTAAAGAAAACCAAGAAAATATAATCAAACATCTGAAAGAAACCATTCAAGACTTGAAAACTGAAATAGAGACAATAAAGAAGGCACAAACTGAGGGAATTATACAAACAGAAATCATGAGAAAACAATCAGGCACCACAAACAAGCATAAACAGCAGAATACAAGAGATGAAAGAGAGAATCTCAGGCACCGAGGAAATACACTCATCAGTCAAAGAAAGCATTAAATCTAACAAGCAAATCTAACAGCAAATCCCAAAGAAGGGGAAAACACATAAATTAACATCACCAACAACTAAACTAAATTAACATAACAATCACTGGTTTTTAATATCCCTTAATATAAATGGATTCAACTCCCCCATAAAAAAAACACAGGCTAACAGATTGGGTACAAAAACAGAATCTATCCTTCTGCTATATACAAGAGGAAATCTAGGCCAGGCGGTGGTGGCGCACGCCTTTAATCCCAGCACTCGGGAGGCAGAGGCAGGTGGATCTCTGTGAGTTCGAGACCAGCTTGGTCTAAAAGAGGAAATCTCAATACTGAACATCTATGCCCCAAATACAAGGGCACCCTCATATGTAAATAAAGAAATGTAAGAATGGTCAAGATCAAAATCACTAATGACAACTTATGCTGTAGAGGTTGTGGGGTAAAGGAACACTCCTTCGTTGCTGGTGGAAATGCAAGATGGTACAGCCCCTTTGGATGTCAGTGTGGCAAATTCTCAAAAAATTAGGAAACAACCTTCCTCAAGACCCAGCAATACCACTTTAGGGTATATATCCAAAGGATGCTCAACCGTGCCACAAGGACATGAGTTCAACTTTGTTCATAGCAGCATTGTTTGTCATAGCCAGAACCTGGAAACAACCTAAATGCCCCTCGACTGAAGAATGGATAAGAAAAATGTGGTACATTTACACAATGGAGTACTACACAGCAGAAAAGATGATGACATCCTGAAATTTGCAGGCAAATGGATGGAGCTAGAAAACATCATTTTGAATGAGGTAACCCAGGCCCAGAAAGACAATTATCACATGTACTCACTCATAAGCCTACAAATCACAATCCCAGAGAACCTAGACAACAATGAGGACCCTAAGAGAGACATACATAGATCTAATCTACATGGGAAGTTGAAAAAGACAAGATCTCCTGAGTAAATTGGGAGCGTGGGGACCTTGGGAGAGGGTTGAAGGGGAGGGGAGAGGTAGGGAGGGGAACAGAGAAAAATGTAGAGCACAATAAAAATCATTCTCTCATACTAGTCAAATTATAGAAAAAATGCTAATAATTCCTTCATCTTTTAATCCCATACCTGAGCCAATGGCGAAGTCTGGCAGTAAAACCTCTCCATTTCTCTACGTGCTCATAGAGCTACATCTAGAAATAAAAGTGAATTTCCTTTATAAGACCCCTGGAAACCTCTGCCAGAAAAGTTAGAACATCAAAATATTAAATCAGCTGAGTGGTGGTGCACATCTTTAATCCCAGCACTCGGGAGGCAGAGGCAGGTAGAGCTCTGAGTTTGAGTCCAGCCTGGTCCACTGGGCAAGTTCCAGGACAGCCAGGACAAAGAGAAACTATCTTGAAAATCAAAACAAAATAAACAAACAAAATGTCAAACAAATGGAAGTGTTTATGGTAACAATAATAATAACTGAATACTTACAGGGGAGGCGTTCGTTCTTACAGCCTCATCCTGAACGGGGTTGGTAGTGGTGGCGTTGATGGCTGGGTTCTACAGAGTGCTGTTACTATAGCCCACTATAGCTCAGAGCACAGAGCACACTCTAGCAACCGTGGTAAATACAGCCAGCAATCGAGGAGACATTTTGACCGTGACTCTTTTTGCAGATTATCAAAGACCTGCAGTTGCTGGGGTTGGTGGCAGTCCTGGTGGTGGCTGATGTCATCCTGCTTGTCACATGGGTGCTGACTGATCCCATCCAGTGCCTCCAGATCCTTGGTGTGAGCATGAAGGTGAGGGCCTATCCCTAGGCCTTCTACTTCTTCATCCAGGCTGGGTTCTGTGCTGGTGCTCATGGCAGCAGCACTCACTGAACAGCTGTCCTGCAGAGAAATCAGGAGTCGTGGCTGCCCTGGGCACCCTGTCACGTGTCTTCAGGCTGTGCTGCCACCCACAATGCTCCTCGTGCCCCTGATCTTCTCGTGGGTGTCCTCACAGACGTCAGTGCTTGGGGAATCTGCCTGACAACTCTCTCTGGGCTTGCAGTCACTGATGAGAACATCCTGCTCTCGGGAGTTGCCTTCCACTCCCTGATGAGAGATACAGGTGATGTCTTGAGGCTGTCTCTGTATTCTTCAGTTCAAATCACACCCTGCACCAGCCGTGCTCCTGGGGGAAGGCTGCAAACCTCTCCTTTCCAGCCAGAGGGGTAAGGAGGAGGTAACAAGATCACCTTCTTCACTGAGCTCAAGTGAAGATTAGGAGAAAGAGTTCAGATACAGGGCTGAATGGAATCGATACTTGGGTCAGTGAAGACTATTTTCGAATAATGGTTCACGATGTGGAATACTCTTGTAATTTTGCTGAGGTGCTGTCTGAAGCCCCCGTGGTAGCAAATCCCACACCCTCGGGTAAGCCCCGAAGTGGCCCAGTGTCTCTAGCCACCCACCTTTCTCTCCCTTCCCTCTCGCCCAGGCACTCTGATGTAGGCTCTAACAGAACATAAACTTTTCTACATTTTTCTCCCGTTTTTATGTACTGAGCAGGGAAATTCTCTGTTAGGGAGGAGTTTATACCCCCTGGAAGTTCACAGAGCTCTGCTGTGTGGTCCCAGGAATGTAATGCCCTTGGTTCTGACCTTGTGTCCCTCACAGGTGACAGGGAGAGATGTGTCCTGCTCTTTGACCAACACACACGCCTGTGCTTCGCGGTACTCCGATGTCTGGATCGCTCTGGTTTGGGGATGCAAGGTTGGTACTACAACTCCACAGGTTACAGGCCGTCTCCAATAGGATGGGTTTGGAAAGAGAATGGCGAATTAATGAGATTTCTTCATGGATAGAGATGACAGAGAATGGTGAGCTCAGAGCCAGCCTGGGCTCATGCGGAAGTCCCAAACTGTGAACCTTTTATTTCTTCACCGTTTACATTTGGAGGAGCACTTCTTCAACCCCTCACGGGCCTTCTTTCAGTCTACCAACAGATCACTGGGATCAGTTTCTCTCATATAATGATTTGTTTTTCTGTTTGGGGTAGGTTTCTCAGGGAGGAACTTTGTTTATTGAGGGTCTTTAGATGCAGCCCTCATTGGCTGTGTAAGCCAGGCTGTCCTTGAACTCACAATATGACTCCCTGTGACTGACTTAGGAGTGCTTCTTTTTTTTTTTTTTTTCTTAAAGAATCAAGGAAGCAAACAGCCAACACTTGCTTGTATCCTGGAAACGGTTAGGAACTGAACCTCTGAATGCTACCAAATGGCACTGAACTTTGTCCTTGCCCCTTCCTAGATGAACCCCAATCTCATCTAACCCCCAAGAGCCATAATCCCCCTGGAGTAGGGACAATGATACAGCCCCTTTAGAGCCGCTTTCACCAGCTTAGAGTTTCCAGCCACCCCTGCCCTTAACGAGGGCTGCAGAACTTTCCATCTTATTATTCTTGTTCTTCCTCTGGCTCTGGACACTTCTGAAGCACTGGGTCATCTCAGTTCAGTTCTTGGATTCTGGAGCTTATCCTCCACTTCATCCCTCCACCCCACACCCTGTCTCCGTACACCTCCTCCATTATTTTCTGTGCGGTCCCATGGCGCTTCTTTTTCAATACCGAGGTGTCTATAGGATATGAGGAAAGGAGTATCGCCTCAGCCGACCTCCTGGGGGCACCAGCCAGCCAGGAGCTCCTGAGGAGGGCTGACCCCACCCCCACCCCCGCCCCAAGCTTGCTAACAAAAGGCAGATGACAATCAAGGATCAGGTGTGACAACCCTCAAATAGCAGTCATGGGCACACTGGCTTTTAATCATACCTGTTTCCCTTTTTAGCAAGAATATTGATGAAATTAATATTCCCTTATTATGGAACTAAACTGTTTTATGAAAATCATATCTAACATTTCAGAATCACAGAATTAATTTTATTCACCTTTGGTAATGATGTAAGTGCTGAGTGGCACTCAGTGGTACCTGTTACCCAGGGTCATCAGTGAAGATCCGATTGTGACTGGGTTTGACCCTGCGCCCCCATTTGGTAGAACCAAAGCTTCCAAAGTTACCCCTAAGAGCCATGCCTGCAGTTGGAGTTGGCCAGGTTATGTGATGTCGGAGTCAACAGGACACCTGGCCTGACTTTCCTTCTCCCAAATCCCCTTAGTTCTCAGCCTCACCTCACACCCAATGGCATCCACACATTCCAGTTCTGAACAAGGGCTTGGCTGGCCTCCTCTCCTCCCCCTACCAGCCAAGCCTTCCATTCCGCTGTTGTTTCCCTCCTGATGTTATCGCTCTTGCTGTTTTGAGTCAAGGTCTCCACATGTGGCCCAAATTGGTCTCAGACTCATAGCAATCCTGCTACCTCAGCCTCACCGGTCCTGGGATGCCTAGTTAACCATCGTGCCTGGTTGTGAATGTCCTTGGTCGCAATGGTTTGTAGCATAGTGCTCTGAGCAAGTCAGAAAGACCAGTGCATACAGAATCTGTACACCGAGGATGGCCGGTGAAAACTTTGACGTCCAGATGTGCGCAGCTGTCCCTGGGGAAACAGCACTGTCAGAGACCCACACCATTTTCTCCCTAGTACAAGTGAGAACCGAGAGGACAGATTTATGCTTGTGAAGAGAGAGAGAGAGAGAGCTGGGCCCCAGTTCCTTGTGGTAGAGGCGGGGAATGTCACAAAGCAGTTCAGATGTAGCGCCTACTGCCTGTGCCTCCCCTCCTTCTTGCTGGGGTCCCAGCCTGCCTTTGTTCTCCTCTTTTTCCATCTTTCTTCTCCCAAGAACCCCTGCTGCACAGAGCACCGGTAGCCTATGGAGTTCCTTTGTGTGGAGCAGAAAACCATGCTCTTGCAGGCAGAGGCAGACCTGCAGGTGCAGAGCCTGGCAGGCAGATGGTGCCTTTGAGTACCCTGGGAATTCAAATAACAACCCCTCCCTCTGGCACTGCACTGCTGCTGCTGTAGCACAGGACTGGAGAAGCGGACCGCAGGTCCCTTCTGGTTCCCACATGCCACTCAGCCTCCCTCACTGCCAAGCCATAACGGATGTGTAGGACGCCCCACCCCCACCCCCCGACATAAACAACAGTAGGAGCCGGCTCCCCTGCCTTCCGCAAGCCCACTGCCCATCTCTGGAACTCCTAGGCACCGCCACTAGGCTCTGTGCCTTCTCCCCGAAGAATGTTGTATTATCTGATAGCTTGTTCGCCAGCCTCTGATAAACTTCTTAGTGAAGGACCGGAAGTGACTTTCAGAACCCACAGGTAGAAGGATTTATCTCCTGGTTTCTAGGGGCGTCTCTTAGCGTGAGCTCATAGCAAATCTTTAGGCAGATATGATTAGCCCGGAGTTACCCTTGAGGACACTGGCCCCAACCCTGCTCCCCTGACCTGTGGTTCCTGCTCCTCCTTGCAGGGGCTGCTGCTGCTGTTTGGTGCTTACCTGGCTGGCCTGACCAACCACGTCAGCTCTCCTCCGGTGAACCAATCCTTGACCATCATGGTCGGAGTCAACCTCCTGCTGCTCACTGCGGGCCTGATTTTCGTGCTCACCAGATACCTGCACTCCTGGCCTAATCTAGTCTTTGGATTCACAACTGGAGGGATCTTCGTTTGCACAACCACTGTGAACTGCTGTGTGTTCCTTCCCCAGGTACGCACGAGTGCTTTGTAGGGTTCTTCACGGGTGCGATGGGTCACTTGCTTTCCCTGCAGGCATGGCGGTCAGAAGGCATACAGCCCCTCCGTACCTCTTCAGTGCTGAGGAGAAGACAGCTCGGTGCCCGAATCAGGCCAAAGAGGGCGAGCAGTGCTGGGGGGGTCCGTTCCTCGAGGTGACCGCACCCCTGTTTCCCACCCAGCTCCCACTTTGCTCGGAACTTACTGTGTAGCTCAGGCTAACCTCAAAGAAGAAAGCCTTTTCCTTTCTAATTTTGGGATTTGGGATTGCAGGTTCATAGAGAATTTTCTGTTAGAACTTCGAGATGTAGAATGGTTTTCCTAGCCAGGTGTGGTGGTGAACCCCTGTAACCCCAACTCCTGGGAGAAGGAGGCAGGAGAGTTGAGTCACCCTCAGATACCCTCTGTCTCTCTCTGTCTGTCTCTCTCTCTCTGCCACATAAAGTATCCACTTTATGAAAGGGAGAAATTAGCCCAGTGATGGTAGCACACACCTTTAATTCCAGCAACCAGGAGGCAATCTGTGAGTTCAAGGCCAGCCTGGTCTACAGAGCAGGTTCGAGGATACAGGATATCCAGGGCTGCACAGAGAAACCCTGTCTTGAAACACACAATGTAAATGGAGACTACTTATCCATTTCCTGGCCACCCAGACCCAAATAATCACACAGAAACTATATTAACTACAACACTGCTTGGCCTATTAGCTCAGGCTTCTTATTAACTAACTCTTACATCTTAAATTAACCCATTTCTATTAATCTATGTATCGCCATGAGGCTGTGGCTAACATCTTTGCAGCATATTTCTTCTTCGGCAGCAATATGGCATCTGCCTGACTCAGCCTTCTTTCTCCCTGCATTCAGTTTAGTTTTCCTGCCTGCCTATTCTGCCCTACCAAAGCAGCTTCTTTATTAACCAATGGTAATAAGACATTATTCACAGCATACAGAGGGGAATCCTACATTAATACATACACAGAGAGAAAGAGAGAGAGAGAGAGAGATTAAAATGTATTTCCTATTATGTAGGTTAAGAATAAAATCAAATAGAGGAGGAAGGCAGAAGCAGAGAGCACATCCTGGCAAGGAGAGAAGAGGCAGGGGAATCTTTAAGCCTGGGGAGGAAAGCTCTGGTGGCTGTTTTCCTGAGCTGATGGGCCACAGGGCCTTATCCATCACCTTAGTGATCTAGCCGCTGGACGCTTTCTTTTTCCCTCTTGCTCCCCCTTTCTTCCCCTGAGCCTAGCCCCCATTCTGAATCCCTTTCTGTGGTGAAACTCACAGCTCATCCCACTGTTGACTGTCAAGGATACAGACAACTCTGGACCACCATGGCGTGACATGTAGGCGCTTCAGTCTCTTCCTGCTCAATAGTTCTCAACAAAACTTTCGGCAAATAAACAAATGGGGGTGTATGTGAATGAGTGGATAAACCTGGGTGTGGCTTTTGTGCCACAAACTGGAGGGACTTCGCAGCATCTTAACACTGTAAGAACTGGGCTAGAGAAGACCACTAAGAGTGGAGGCTCACCAGGGCGGTGGTGGCGGCTCACGCTTTAATCCCAGCACCCAGGAGGCAGTGGCAGGTGGATCTCCATGAGTTTGAGGCCAGCCTGGTCTACTAGGCCAGGACTGTTTTCCATAGAAATCCTGTCTTGAAAAACCAAACCAAAACAATAACAACAAAAAGAGTGGAGGTTCACTGTTTGGGCTCCTCTTCCCTAGGAGATATGGAAGTGAGGAGAAACTTTGGGGTGGCCGAGCCGTTTTGGCCATTCCTTTCCTTTCTTATTTAGCTGTGAAAGAACGAAAGCATTTGCCTTTCCAGCCTCCCAAGATATTTATTCTGCTTGGTCAACAGGATTCCAAGGGCATTGCCTCTTTTCAACAAAAGCAAAGCACAAAGTCAGAGTCTAGTCTTAGATAATAAAATATTGAGTAAGGATGAAAACCGATGCTAAATTGAAATGAAGCCCTGAGTAGACAATTTAGACACCACAAAATATTGAGTTAGCAAACTAAGGGAGCAAAAG